TAAGGTTTTAGAAGAGTGTGAAAGAAGAGGAAAAGGAATCTGAGAGTGTGTGTGTGTACAGTGTTGGGGAAAGCGAGTGTGGAATCGCCGCCGTGAGCACAGACAAGTGGAGGATGGTGAAGCCAATCGCACTTCCGAGCGATGATCTGGCGAAATCTTCGGAGCTTGAAATGGAAGAAGAGAGGAGGAAAAATGGCTAAGAAGACCACAGCGAAGAGAATCAATCTCTTGAAATTTCTTGAAAATAATTGCCTGAAGAGAAGACGGCGGCGATTCCCTCCGCCGTCGAGTGGCCGTCTTCTCTGCCGCCAATCGAAGATCGCCATTTACTGGAGACAAAGAAGTTAAGGGAGCTAATGAAGACTGTTAAATGCGATTGAAATGAAATTCACCAATCACCATAACTTGTCTTTTGCACCAAACTTTTTCTTTGGAAATTAATTAATGAACAAGTAACATTTATATAGATAAGAGTTTCAATGATATAAACATTTGATACAAAAGACTATTACATTCAATTTTTTGTGATTTTCTCAAATATGTTGTTGCTCATGAATCTATAAATCATTTTCATATATAGTCAAAATTATGTTTTTGCCATAAAACAATATGCAAATATGAAATTTTTGAATTTTGAACAATCAACAAACCACTAAACTGCATATATATATCCATAAATGATTAGTTCTTCATTAATAAAATTAACAAATAAAATTTGTTCGATATTTTTAGAGTAAGTAAACCCAGAAAATAAATTTAGAAGTATAGAACACAAGATGGATAAAAAGAGGTAGCAAATGGAATCATTTCCTACTAGTCTTATCAAGAACTTCAATGTATTTCTTTGGAACTCCATAGTGTTCAACCATATATCTCGCAACATCATCAATCACACCTCCCTGAATCATAACCTCGTATCCTTTCTTACCTGAAAATAACACAACACAATCTCTCAGTAGTTCATTCATTTACACACAGAGAAACAAACAATAGAACCTACCTGGAAGTTCTCCAACTGAAGTACTACAAGCAAACTTCTTCTGTAGTTCTGATCCAAACGAGTCTGGATCGATCAAGAACGTCTCTATCCCCGAGACCTTGGTCACCTTTTTGTTACCTTGTCTTCGTTCCGTCATTATCTGAACAGGCTTCACAGCTCCTTTACGAACCACAGGCTCACCGCCTCTTATCACTACGTGATTCGGCTGCATCCTCCCTATAAACGTCGATCCAACATCCTTCTTGTGAATCTCTGACGGGTATGCTGATCCCTTTTTGATAGCTCCTTTGAACAATGCGTCGCATAGTATCGGGTCCAACACAATCATTGACTTGTTTGTTGGCTTTACCAGATTTTCCTTCTCAACGTATCTGAACACGACATCAGAGGCTTCTGAAGCTGTGTATAGCTTTCCTTTGTCTTCCCCAACTGATGCAAATATTGCACTGTTGTGTATGCTTGGTTTATATACCTCTATGATTTCAAGCATTTTATCTGACTGAGCTTGTGCTGTGGATCGGCCAGTAGAAGACTCAGGGATTTCCGTTTTCTTTTTCTCCGCCTTGAAGGATGAGTAATCTGGGTGGCTGCGATTCACCGCAATCAACACAATCTCCTTCTTATGCTTGTCTTCTTTCACAGAAATCTGTGCATACATTAAAACAATCAGAATGAGTATACTGGGGTAAATTTAAAAGTATTAATGAGTGTTACTAACTCAGCTTAAAACACTTAATGATTATAGTAGTTTTCTAAATTGAGAAACCAGTCGGTATTTGCAGTGAAACATCTTAACGTAAAACAAGGGGAAGCAGTAAACTAACTAACCATTCCTGCAGACGCTTTCGTTTGCAGCCACTTTGACAGCTTTTTATGGGAAGACTTCTTAATATCAAGTGTAAGCCCAGGAGGCCTACAAGGTAATACATGATTTGCCCTGCATCACTCACAGAAAAACATATGTAAGCCAAACTTGGAAAGGAAGGGGAGAATGGGTAAATGCAAGCCAAACTTGAACAGAGCTTCACAGCGTAATAAAACAACCCAATCACAGTCAAAGACAACACAGTAAAGCGGGTTTGCATACATCAGGAGGTAAGACACCAACCAAATAGTAATATAGAAGGCTCTCAAAGTAACTCAAGTATTTTAATGGCGTTCTTACCAAAGAGTGCTTCCTGGGATGGGAAGGTCCTTCTCCTTGAGTGTTGTATGCAATGCTTGCAAAAGGCATTGGTCGAGAAGGGCATCTACCTCCTCGGTGGAGAGAGTATTTTGCTTATCGGTATTAGCTTCACTAGCAGCAACGTCATCTGCTAAATTCAGCTCATTCATGCTCACAACCATATGTTCCTCAGTATTATTCTTAGCATCCGTAGCTGAGGTTGAAGCTGTTTCCAGAGCAGATTCATCTTCTTCATTTCCTGTGCTCGTCTGCGGCCCAGCTGAAGGGTCTTCACCAGAACCGAGAGCAATGTACGATGGGTCCTCCATGACAACATCCTCCATAAAACCAGCATTTGGAACATATTGCCCCTCAGCTGATTCCCTGTGAAACACACCTTGAGCATGTAAGAGGCTGATTTCCTCC